CTTCCACGATGACTCGTAATGATAAATCACAAAATCGTCGTAAAACCTGTAATCGAAAGGTTTTTTGCCGTTTGTTTTCGATGACGTTTTTCTTTTTTCTTTTTTCTTTTTTTTGTTTTTCTAATGTTTAACTTACGTACGTTTAACAAACGAGAGAACAAACGAACAAACAAACAAACGAACAACAAAAATTTTTATTTTGTATTCGTTTCGATTCGTCGATTGTTTTATTGTTTTTTTTTTTTTTTTTTGAAAAAATCGCGAAACCGGAAAACGACGGACATTTTCGTTTTTTTATTACGACAACCGTTTGTTAAAACTTTTCTTTTCTTTTTTTCCGGGGGAAGGGGGGAGGGGGAGAAGGAGGGTCATTAAAATGAAATTAAGAACGTTTTTTTTTTTTTTTTAAAAAACTTTTTCTTCTTCTTCTGCTTTCTCCTATCGCGAATGAAATCGAGAAAAACGATGTCGATGAAAACGTGGAAAAATTTTAATCTCTTACGAATTCAACAAACAAACAAACAAACAACCAAACAAACGAATAAAACAATTTTATAATCGTAATAAAAACAACAACAAAAGGAAAAAAAATAAATCAAAGGAAAACAAAAAAAAAAAAAAAAAATTAAAAGTCTTCTTCCTTTTTTTTTTTTACGATGCAAACATAAATAAAAAACAAACAAAGATGATACGTGTTTGTTGTTGTTTGTCCGACGAACAAGGTTTTTTTTTTTTTTTTTTTTTTAATACATTGATGAAAATAATAATAAAAAAGAAAGACGACGTAATAAACGAGAGAAGGTAAAGGGGAACAAAAAAAACAGTAAAAACCAAAGAATGACATTAAAAAAAGATGGCGGGTATGACGTCAAAAGTGGCGGGGAAAAATGGCGCGAAAGGTTTTCGTATCTTAAACATCGTACCTTACACGCAACAAATAATAATAATAATAATAATAATAATAATAATAATAATAATAATAATAACGATGATATTTAACATCGGAAACGCATAGCAACACGCAACGATTCAATAAATACCAAAAAAAAAAAAAAATTAAAACCGGAAACGGAAATCAAAAAAAAAAAAAAACGAAAATTTTTTTTGAAATCGCGACCCGACTTGTATTTAAAATAATAATAATAATAATAATGATAATTTTTTTTTTTTTTTTTATCATTCAAAATAAATTATTCGAGTCGAATGAAATAAACAAACAAATTGTTCGTGGAACTAGAAAAAAATAACAAGTTCTAAAAAAAAAAAAAACTATTAATTAATAAAACAAATGAATATTTTATAATTTTTTTTTTTTTTTTAGAGGAAAAGTGCAAAAATACGACAGGAAAAATTAAGAAAAAACGATTTTCGCGACGATGATAATGATGATGATGATGATAAAAAAACAACATCGTGATACTACGGAGGAGGAAGAGGTGGGGAGGGGGGGAAAAAAAGAAAACATTTCAAGTTGTTAAAAAGTTTATGGGTCGAATCGTGGTAGTGAAGCGTTTTCAAAATTTGGCATGAAAAACCGACAAAAACCGACAAAAACTTTTTTTCCCCCTCGAATTTTTGGAAATAATTCAAAAAACGAAAATTGTAATTTTACACTCGGATTTAAACCATTATTATTATCTTTTTTCAAGTCGAAAGGGAAGGGGGGGGGGGAAGAAAATATAAAAAAATAAAATAAAATAAAAACCTTATTGTTAAAAAAATTTAGAAGGCGGTGATTGCTGTTTTTAATCGTCGTCGTCGTTGTCGACGTCATCATCGTAAACGTCATCGTAACGTATTTTAAATAGTTAAAACAAAAAAAAACAATAAAAAAAAATTTATCCGCCATTTTAAATTTTTTATCGTTTGTTGTTTGTTGTTTAAAAAAAAAAAATAATAATAATTTTTCAATAATTTAAAAAAATTTGAAATAACTAAAAAAAAAACGGTAAGAAATTAACAAAGAAAAATTCCAAATTTTTTTTTTCGACTTTAAAGTGGCATTAGAACGATACGAATCGACGCGTGCGACAAGTACTATTTCCAAAAAAAAATTTTTTTTTTTTTTTCATCCAAGAATAATCTAGGTCGATGACCAAATTTTTATAAATTAAAGTAAAAAAAAAAAATATATGTAAGAAAATTAAAACAACGATCGATTAATAAAAACGAGAATAAATATATTTTATTTTAATTCGATCTGGTGCCACGGTTGGAAAATTAATTGCTTTTACGGACTGACCGGGAGCCAAGTCAAACGTAAAATGTTCGAGCAATTCCCGTGAAGTCAAAAAAAAAAAAAATTTATTCCAAAGCCCCCTTGATTAATTACGTAAAATTTCATATTTAAAACTTTTCCCCCCTCGTCCTTCTCCCCTCCTCCCCACTTCCTTCCTCCCCCCACTTTTATTAATATGGCGACATAATTACCCGTAGGATTTATTGGCAAAAGAATAAAAAAAATGTTTTATACACACAAAAATCCTTTTTTTCTTTCCATTCGTTTGTTTGTTTGTTCCTTCATTTTTTTTTTTTGCAATTTGTTACGATTTTGTAATTTATTTAGAAAAACAACAACAACAACAAAGACAAACGACAAGCAATTTATTAAAAAACAACAACAAACAAACAAACGAACAAACAAAATTTTTTTTTTAATTTTTTTTTTTTTTTGCTTGATTGTCGCCGTCATTCATCGTCGTCGTCGTGGTTGTCGTTGTTGTTGTTGTAATTAATTATAATTACAACCGGTTAATGATGACTACCACATTAAGAGATTATAGAATGGAAAAAAAAAAATCTGTCTAATTCCACGATTGTGTAAATTAATACAATATTCCAATTATAAAATCATTTCCTTTTTCTTTTTTCGCGCGCGCGAAAAGTAGAAGAAAAAAAATATTCGCGACATTTTCTTTCTCTCCCTTCCCTTCCCTCCCCCAACTCTCTCTCTTTCTATTTTTAATTATAATAAAAAAAAAAAAAAAATTAAATGACGTGGCACGAACGAACAAAAAAAAAAATTCTCGTGTGATTTTAATTGAAAATTTGCGTCAAACCGAATCCAAAAAAAAAATACAGAAACGTTCGAAAGGATTTTTTTTTTTTTTAAACATCACCATCATTATTATTATTATTTTATTTTTTTTTATTCGTTCGTGACACGAAGAAGAAAAATAAAAAAGTGGTAGAAGATGAAGAAGAAGAGGATGATGACAAAGAATGACTCTCTTGTTCTTCTCTTCGGCTTTTTTTTTTTTTTTTTTTGGCATCGAATTTTATGACGGTTGCGACCGAGCCAAAAGCCAATTACCAAAAAATTCCGATATTAACCGTATGTTTTATTATCATTATTATTATTATTCGATGATAATAATAATACTCGCCACGTTAAGGGTGGTGGTGGTGGTGGTGGCGAGTGGGGGGAAATAAAAAAAATGAAGAAAATAAACGAATGATGTTTGTTGTTGATCATTCGTTCGTTTCCTTTTCTTCTTTCCTTCTTCCTCCTTCCTCTTTGTCAACTTTTTTTCTGCTTCCACGACATGACTATTTTATTTCTCACCTTATTTATTTTTTTTAACGGTACGAACGGCGGCTAAAAAACAATGAAATCCTTGTCCGACAAAAAAAAACTGTAAAAGAAACCGATTTTTTCACGCGTGACACGTTAAAAAAAAAAAAACCACGAAAGGGTTAATAAAAAAATCTTTTTTTTTTATTTTTTTTTCTCGCCGAAAAGTATTTCCGTTTAAATTAAACGGAGACTTTTTTTTCGGAGACGATGATTGATGACCCGCGAACATCGTCACACCTTGACGTGGCAACAGAAACAACAAAAACAACAACAACAACAGTAACACACACAAAAATTCTCGTCTATGAATGAAAGTGAAAAAAAAAAAAAAAAAGATAAAACAATTTCTGTTTTTTTTATAA